TCCTGGTTTAGACCTGGTTTAGTCCTGGTTTAATCCAGTTTTAGTCCAGTTTTAGTCCAGGTTCAGACCTGGTTTAGTCCAGTTTTAGTCCTGGTTCAGTCTGTAGTGTAGCTGCTGTGGCCAGAGGGCATTGTGGGTAACGCGGTCTTTAGTCGTGGTATTCACTAATGAGAGACCCGCCGCCCTGTAATTACCCCGCCAACCAATCAGAGCCCAGCCCACACCTCAAAGCAGCCAATCAGGAGGGAGCAGCAGTTAGACCGACCAATCAGAGCCCGGGAGGAAATGAGCCCCATAAAAACCACCACAGGCCTCAGATTTAAAGCTCTAGTGTGGACTTTTCCCCCGTGTGGGGCCTGCAGGTGCTGGACGAGGAGTTAGAGAAAAAACTACATGAAAAATGAACAAAAAATAATAATTTATAAAATAATAATAATAATGAAGATTCAAATTCAGGTTTAGCCCCTAGTCTAGAACTGGTTCAGTCCTGGTTTTGGTTTAGTCCTGGTTTTGGTTTAGTCCTGGTTTTGGTTCAGTCCTGGTTTTGGTTTAGTCCTGGTTTTGGTTCAGTCCTGGTTTTGGTTTAGTCCTGGTTTTGGTTCAGTCCTGGTTTTGGTTCAGTCCTGGTGTTTTGTTGTGGGGCTTTTATTGTGAAGGTCGAGTTTTTCACAGTCGCCTCTGATCTCCATGGAAACACCCCCCGAGATTTACCACCAAACAACAACCCCCAGAGACCAGGCCTAGTCCTGGTTTAGACCGGGTTTAGTCCTGGTTTAGACCGGGTTTAGTCCTGGTTTAGACCGGGTTTAGTCCTGGTTTAGACAGGGTTTAGTCCTGGTTTTAGACCTTTTATAACCCAGGTCAACCCAGTTCAGAAAAACTGGTCCAGGTCTTTTCCTGGTCCTGGTCTGGTCTGGTCCTAGTCTGGTCCTGGTCTGGTCCTAGTCTGGTCCTGGTCTGGTCCTGGTCCTGGTCCTGGTCTGGATTTTCTGTTTGATCATCAGATTTGACACTTTGATGTTTTGAGGAAACGAGAGTCAAGTCACATCCCAGGACACGACTCCAACAGTCTGGAGCAGTTTGGTTTGGTTTAGTTTGGTTTGGTTTAGTTTGGTTTAGTTTAGTTTGGTTTGGATCAGTTTAGTTTGAGTTTAAATGAGATCAAGTCTTTTCAGTTTCTTTATTTTCGATATCGACACTTAAACCCAAAGATCTTAAATCACTGAAACTGATCAGAGCAGGTTTTAGATTGATGAGTTCGTGCACGAGCCCACGTGCACAGGCGTGTGCACGTGGGCTCGTGCACAGGCGTGTGCACGTGGGCTCGTGCACGAGTCTTGTCTGTAATTATCTCTAAATAGAGGCACTTGGGCAGAGGAGTGGTCACATCTGGAGCACAGGCTGCTCTCCAACTCCAACAAAGTCCTGGACCAGTCCTGGTTTAGATCTGGTTTAGATCTAGGCCAGTCCTGGTTCAGTCCTGGTTTAGTCCTGGTCCGTGTTTAAACTGTGGTTCTGATCAACATCAGTGACAAATCCTGGTTCAGTCTCATAATTCACTTGGTCTTGGTTTTAGTCTTGGATTTAGTCCTGGTTTAATCCCTGTCTGGCTTGGGTCAGACCTGGTTAAGTCCATGTTTAGTCCTGGTTTAGTTCTGGGGGCTTTATAACAAACTTACAGAGTGAATAAGCTCCAGGAGCGAGAACGTTCGAAACACTGACACTGTGACCTGGTTTAGTCCTGGTTTAGTCCTAGTTTAGTCCTGGTTTAGTCCTGGTTTAGTCCTGGTTTAGTCCTGGTTTAGTCCTGGTTTAGTCCTGGTTTAGTTCTGGTCTAGTTCTGGTCTAGTCCTGGTTCAGTGAGACCCTCTGTATGTTCTGTTATTACATGTAAATAATCTTGTTATTAGACCCCAGTTCTGTTCCTTGGTGCAGAATCTCTCCTCTAAGACTTTAGTCCTGCTCCTGATTTATATAGAGCTGCTCCAGACCTGGTTCAGAGTCCTGGTTCAGTCCTGGTTCAGTCCTGGTTCAGTCCTGGTTCAGTCCTGGTTCAGTCCTGGTTTAGTCCTGGTTTAGTCCTGGTTCAGTCCTGGTTCAGTCCTCCTGGTTCAGTCCTGGTTCAGTCCTGGTTTAGTCCTGGTTCAGTCCTGGTTTAGTCCTGGTTCAGTCCTGGTTTAGTCCTGGTTTAGTCCTGGTTCAGTCCTGGTTTAGTCCTGGTTCAGTCCTGGTTCAGTCCTGGTTCCGGCCCGTCAGGTGCAGGTCTTACCTGTGCACTCGGCCTTCCCGGGCCCACAGTCTTGTCCGCTGCGGGGAAAGGAGCTCCATGCGGCGGGCAGGAGCAGCAGCATGAGGCCGCAGGAGAAGCACGATCCCCGGAGGAGCGGAGGAGCCATGATGGAGGTCGAGACGGAGCGAAGGACGCGGAGAGGAGGGGCGCGCTGTGGATGAATGAGCCGAGGAGCCGCTGCTGTAAACGGGACAGAAACACGAGAACAGTCCGCTCCGGGACGCGGTTCGGTCCCGGGAAATCACGCGTCGAGTCCCGGGTACCGTGTGTCCCAAAGCACCGGGAACTGCGCTGGAATAAAGCCGAGGAGTGGCGCTCGGAGCTCGGTCAGGAAAACAAAGCCTGCGCGCAGGGCCTGGGGCTTCTGTCCGACCCCCACTCCCCCTGTTCTTCTCCCGGAGTCCGTGTGCGCTCAGCCGGACCCAGCGACCTCCATCCCCCGCCGAGCCCCCAGTGTCCCCCGAAACCACCGCACAGATCCACCGCGAGGAGCTCCGGAGCCGCAGCGGGGCGAAGCAGAGAACCCGAGCCGAGAAAGAGCGAGGGTGCGCCGGGCAGAGGCAGGGCGCGTCGGTGCGTCGGACGGTGGGACTTTTTTTTTGTCCTGCGCGTCTCCGGCGAAGCGCATCAACAAAGGGCCGCGTCACGTGACGCACAGGCCACGCCCACCGCGGGGACACTGGGCTCGCGGCGGGAGGTCCGTGCGCGTGACCCCCCCCCTAATCACTTTAATTGTCTTTATGCAAATGAGGCTAATCACCATTAAAGCGAGATCATGAGACTCAGAAAAGCTGCGCTGTGGAACATTTCTGCGGCTCTGCGCAGGTCTGTCTCCATGGAGACGAGAGGAGAACGTTTCACTGGATTTATGATCGTAAAGTGATGATCCTGTTTCCTCCTCGAGCTCTTTTATTATGAGTCTGTTTACATCTGCACAGCTCCACACGCTCTGTCCCACCTCGTGATGTCATCAAGTGCTTTTCTTTCTTTTTTTTTTAAATTAATATTCTACAACAAAAAAACAAAGAAAAAAAATAAAGAAAACAAAAACAGAGACAAGAGTTTATTCTTGGTGCCAAATAATCATTTAAATCAACTGAACGTCACAAGAAAAGAAATAAATATAAATGAAATCAAATAAATCAGAACATTTAGACTCAAATTCTACATGATTTAAAATAAAACATCATCACAATACAAAAAAAACAACAACACATAAATGAATAAATAAATAAAGTAGTTAAGGAGCTGGTGGAGGTGGACAATATGGAGGAGGTGATGGAGCTGGAGGAGCTGGAGGGTGGAGGAGGTGGAGTTGTGTTGAGGCTGTGAGGAGCAAATGGAGGAGGTGATGGAAGAGGAGGAGGTGATGGAGGTGGTGGTGGAGGAGGTGATGGTGGAGGAGGAGCTGGAGGTGATGGTGGAGGAGGTGATGGTGGTGGAGGAGGTGGAGGTGATGGTGGAGGAGGTGATGGTGATGATGGAGGTGGTGGAGGAGGAGCTGGAGGTGGTGGAGGAGGTGATGGTGGAGGAGAGGTGGTGGAGGAGGTGATGGTGGAGGAGGAGGTGATGGTGGAGGAGGTGGGAGGAGGTGGTGGGGAGGTGGAGGAGGTGGAGTTGTGTTGAGGCTGTGAGGAGCAGATGGTGAATCTTCTGTGGAACAAAAGGAAACGACTCTTCACCCACAAACACCAGGTCAAAGGTGAAAGAAAAACTGATACTAGAGAGAAGAGAGGAGAAGAGAGAAGAGGAAGAGGAGGAGGAGGAAGAGAAGAGGAGGGGGGGGGGCGGTGCAGATCTTTGACCTGGAAACAAACATGTGAATTATTTATTTGATCCTGAAGAGAAAAACTGTGATGAAAACTTCTGTCCACCAGAGGACACTGCTCCCTACAAACACTGCTCCCTACAAACACTGCTCCCTACAAACACTGCTCCCTACAAACACTGCTCCCTACTGCTGCTTTTACTGAAGAAAAGCTGCAGATTTAATATTTGTCATTTGTATTTAGTTTTTTACAGATTTGTGTTTATAAAAATATATTTTTACATTGTAAATAAATAAATAATTGTAAAATGTGATTCACATTTGTGGATCAACAACGACACAAACTCAAACACACACTGACACACACAAACACACACACAGACACACACTGACACAGACACACACAGACACACACTGACACAGACACACACACACTGACACAGACATGAACTCAGACATACACACGTGTGTCCAGCAGATGGCGCTGTTGTACAGGAGGTTTGTTCACACATGAAATAATTTAATTTAATAAAAACACATCATTAATAATAAAAAAGGAACTGACCTCATAAACAATTTATGAATGTTACACACAAACACACACAGACACACACAAACACAACACACACCTATGGAACAAGAATGAATTGAACAAAATTTTCACTTTTGCAATATATATATATATATATATATATATATATATATATATATATATATATATATAGTGCTGTCATGCGATTAAAAAAATTGAGAGATTAATTAATTATGATTTGTAATTAAATTAATTAATCTCATTTTAATCTCATCTAAAAATTGCTGAGAAAAGCTTCAATTTGAGGTATTTTCATTTAAATTCATTCTTACATTATTGTGGCAGATCAAAACACTGATATAGATTTAAAAAAAGTGACTTTATAAAGTCATTTATTGTTTAACAAATCTCTCCAAATTTGTCTGTTGAGCCCAAGTCTCCATGAATAAGAAACTGTTTGTTGTAAAGCAGCAAAGACGAGGAAATCTGAACATAATAACTTTTGTCTACTTAAAGACAATAAAAAGTCCAGTCTTTCCTTAACCAGATTAAAAAAATATTATTGATAGAGAAATGCTTTATATATGAGATCACTGGTTTTTAAGTCTGGTTTAGTCCTGGTTTAGTTCTGGTTTAGTCTGGTTCAGTCCTGGTTTAGTTTAGAGTCCTGGTTTAGTTTTTCCTGGTTTTTAGTTCTGGTTTAGTCCTGGTTCATCCTGGTTTAGTTCTGATTTAGTCCTGGTTTAGACCTGGTTTTAGTTCTGGTTTTAGTCCTGGTGTTAGTTCTGGTTTAGTCCTGGTTCAGTCCTGGTTTAGACCTGGAATGGGTTAGTCCTGGTTTTAGTTCTGGTTTAGTCCTGGTTCAGTCCTGGTTTAGACCTGGTTTAGTTCTGGTTCAGTCCTGGTTTAGTTCTGATTTAGTCCTGGTTTAGACCTGGTTTAGTTCTGGTTTAGTCCTGGTTCAGTCCTGGTTTAGTTCTGATTTAGTCCTGGTTTAGACCTGGTTTTAGTTCTGGTTTTAGTCCTGGTGTTAGTTCTGGTTTAGTCCTGTTTCAGTCCTGGTTTAGACCTGGAATGGGTTAGTCCTGGTTTTAGTTTTGGTTCAGTCCTGGTTTAGTCCTGGTTTAGACCTGGTTTAGTTCTGGTTCAGTCCTGGTTTAGTCCTGGTTTAGTCCTGGTTTAATCTGGACTTGTTGATCTGAGACAAGTTCAAACCATTTTTCTTTATCTTTTCATCAGTGACAAACGACCAATCAGAACAGAAACACTGAACCAGAACTAAACCAGGTCTAAACCAGAACTAAACCAGGACTAAACCAGGACTAAACCAGAACTAAACCAGGACTAAACCAGGACTAAACCAGGACTAAACCAGAACTAAACCAGGACTAAATCAGGACTGAACCAGAACTAAACCAGGACTGAACCAGAACTAAACCAGGTCTAAACCAGAACTAAACCAGGACTGAACCAGAACTAAACCAGGACTAAATCAGGACTGAACCAGAACTAAATCAGGACTGAACCAGAACTAAACCAGGACTAAATCAGGACTAAATCAGGTCTAAACCAGAACTAAACCAGGACTGAACCAGGACTAAATCAGGACTGAACCAGAACTAAACCAGAACTAAACCAGGACTAAAAACCAGGACTAAACCAGGACTAAAAACTAAATCAGGACTAAACCAGAACTAAACCAGGACTAAACCAGGACTGAACCAGAACTAAACCAGGACTGAACCAGAACTAAACCAGGACTAAATCAGGACTAAACCAGAACTAAACCAGGACTAAACCAGGACTGAACCAGAACTAAACCAGGACTGAACCAGAACTAAACCAGAACTAAACCAGGACTAAATCAGGACTAAACCAGGACTAAATCAGGACTAAACCAGAACTAAACCAGGACTAAACCAGGACTGAACCAGAACTAAACCAGGACTGAACCAGAACTAAACCAGGACTAAATCAGGACTAAACCAGAACTAAACCAGGACTAAACCAGGACTGAACCAGAACTAAACCAGGACTGAACCAGAACTAAACCAGGACTGAACCAGAACTAAACCAGGACTAAACCAGGTCTAAACTAAAAGTCCTGGGTGCGTGTTTTCCGCCCGGCGACAGTCTGTCATTGGCTGTTAGTGACAAACGAGTGATTTTTTCCATTAACTTAAACAAATTTTGCTTCATCGACAAAAATGAAACAAGAGAAAAACAAAAGAGCAAAAGAGCCTGAATTATGGATTTAAGTCGGTCACGCGGCAAACGCCGCCGACGACAAGTCCAACGGCCGACGACAAGTCCAACGACAAGTCCAACGACAAGACCAACGACAAGACCAACGACCAACGACCAACGACAAGACCAACGACAAGACGACGAACGACAAGTCCAACGACAAGACCAACGACCAACGACAAGTCCAACGACAAGACCAACGCCCAACGACAAGTCCAACGGCCGACGACAAGACCAACGACAAGTCCAACGACCAACGACAAGTCCAACGACCAACGACAAGACCAAGACCAAGACAACCAACGACAAACGACCAACGACAAGTCCAACGCCAACGACCAAGACCAACGACAAGACCAACGACCAACGACCAACCCGACGACAAGTCCAACGACAAGACCAACGACCAACGACAACGACGCCAACGACAACCAACGACCAACCGACGACAACGACAAGACCAACGACAAGACCAACGCCGACGACAAGTCCAACGACAAGTCCGACGACGACCAACGACCAACGACCAACGACAAGTCCAACGACAAGACCAACGACGACAAGACGACAACCAACGACCAACGACAAGTCCAACGACCAACGGACGACAACGAGTCCAAACGACAACGTCCAACAAGACCAACGACAAGTCCAACGCGACGACAACGACCAACGACAAGTCCAACGACAAGACCAACGACGACAAGTCCAACGACCGACGACAAGACCAACGGCCGACGACAAGACCAACGACCGACGACAAGACCAACGACCGACGACAAGACCAACGGCCGACGACAAGACCAACGACAAGTCCAACGGCCGACGACGACAACGACAAGCCAAACGACAAGACAAGTCCAACGAGCCAACGACAAGTCCAACGGACCAACGACAACGACAAGTCCAACGGCCAACGACAAGACCAACGACCAACGGTCCGACGACAAGACCAACAAGACCGACGACAAGTCCAACGGCGACGACGACAAGACGACAAACCGACGACAAGTCCAACGACAAGTCGACGACGACCAAGACCAACGACAAGTCGACGACAAGACAACGACAAGTCCAAACGGCCGACGACCAACGACCAACGACAAGTCCAACGGCCGACGACAAGACCAACGACAACGACCAACGACAAGTCCAACGACCAACGACGACAAGTCCAACGGCCAACGACAACGACCAACGACCAACGACAAGTCCAACGACCAACGACAAGTCCAACGACAAGTCCAACGGCCAACGACAAGTCCAACGACAAGTCCAACGACAAGACCAACGACCAACGACAAGTCCAACGACAAGACCAACGACCAACGACAAGTCCAACGGCCAACGACAAGACCAACGGCCAACGACAAGTCCAACGACAAGTCCAACGGCCAACGACAAGACCAACGACAAGTCCAACGACGACGCCAACGACGACAAGACCAACGACCAACGACAAGTCCAACGGCCGACGACAAGTCCAACGGCCGACGACAAGACCAACGGCCAACGACAAGTCCAACGACCAACGACAAGTCCAACGACGACAAGTCCAACGGCCAACGACAAGTCCAACGACAAGACCAACGGCCGACGACAAGTCCAACGACAAGACCAACGGCCGACGACAAGACCAACGCCCAACGACAAGTCCAACGACAAGTCCAACAAGCCAACGACAAGTCCACACGCCGATGACAAGTCCAACGGCCGACGACAAGTCCAACGACCAACGACAAGTCCAACGACAAGACCAACGACGACAAGTCCAACGACCAACGACAAGTCCAACGACCAACGACAAGTCCAACGGACCAACGACAAGTCCAACGGCCAACGACAAGACCAACGACAAGTCCAACGGCCAACGACAAGACCAACGGCCAACGACAAGTCCAACGGCCGACGACAAGACCAACGACAAGTCCAACGACCGACGACAAGTCCAACGGACCAACGAACGACAAGTCCAACGGCCGACGACAAGTCCAACGGCCAACGACAAGACCAACGACAAGTCCAACGACAAGACCAACGACGACAAGTCCAACGACCAACGACAAGTCCAACGGCCGACGACAAGACCAACGACAAGTCCAACGGCCAACGACAAGTCCAACGACCAACGACAAGTCCAACGACCAACGACAAGTCCAACGGGCCGACGACAAGTCAACCCAACGGACGGCCAACGACAAGTCCAACAACGGCCAACGACAAGTCCAACGACCAACGGCCGACGACAAGTCAACGACAAGTCCAACGACAAGTCCAAACGACAACAAGACCAACGGCCAACGACAAGTCCAACGACAAAACCAACGGCCGACGACAAGTCCAACGACAAGACCAACGGCCAACGACAAGTCCAACGACAACCAACCAACGACAACAAGACCAACGGCCAACGACAAGTCCAACGACAAGTCCAACGGCCGACGACAAGTCCAACGGCCAACGACAAGTCCAACGGACCGACGACAAGTCCAACGGCCGACGACAACGACAAACCAACGACAAGTCCAACGACAAGACCAACGGCCAACGACAAGTCCAACGGCCGACGACAAGTCCAACGCCCGACGACAAGTCCAACCAACGACGACAAGTCCAACCAACGACAAGTCCAACGGCCAACGACGAACAAGTCCAACGACAAGACCAACGACAAGACCAACCCGACGACAAGTCCAACGACAAGAACCGACAAGTCAACGACGACAACGGCCAACGACAAGTCCAACAAGACCGACGACCAACGACCAACGCCAACGACAAGACCAACCAACGACAAGACCGACGACCGACGACAAGACCAACGACAAGTCCAAACAAGCAACGCAACGACAACAAGACAACCAACGACAAGACCAACGGCCGACGACAAGTCCAACGGCCGACGACAAGTCCAACGGCCAACGACAAGTCCAACGGCCGACGACAAGACCAACGACCAACGACAAGTCCAACGGCCAACGACAAGTCCAACGATAAATCCAACGATAAATTCTAAAGTTCTAATGTTCTGATGTTTTGTTGTTGTTTCCTGGACTTTTGTTTTGTTTCATTCACATGTTTAACACAAACCTGCACATTTAGAACGAGTTCTTCTCTCAAACTGAAAACTCTCTGTTCCACCTCGTGATGTCATCGTGTGGTGATACAGGAAGTGCTCCTCTGTGTTTTTAAACTCCACACTTCACCTTCACTAGAATCACCTGGATCAGTTCAGTCGTGGAGCTGCAGATCTCGACTGAACTCAAGAGAAAAGGAGCTCATTTATTTATTTTTATTTTTTTAAATCAATTTTATCTTTAATTTTACAATCACAATTTTTTACTAATCTGATCCTTGCCGACATTTTCATTTAAGTAAAATACAGAAATCTGTGTTTGTAAATGATAATAAAGCAACAAAAAAAAGAAGAAAAGAAAAGAAAAAAGTCCCTCAGATCATGTGGAGAATCCAGAATGTTTCTCTTTACACTTTTATATTTACTTTTCAAATGTAATCCCCTACAGATTACAGATTACATACTCCAAAATGTAGTTTGTAATGTAATCCATTAAATTATTAAAGTGAGTAATGTAATCTGATTACTTTGGATTACTTGATTTTCTGTAGAGAAACAAAGACGAGGAAATAATAAGTTTTATCTGCTAAAAGAAAATAAAAAGTCCAGATTTTACTGAACCAAATTCAAAATATTATTGATAGAAGAAGAAGAAACACGTCCACACAGAGAGAGAGAGAGAGAGAGAGAGAGAGAGAGAGAGAGAGAGAGAGAGAGAGAGAGAGAGAGAGAGAGAGGAGAGAGAGAGAGAGAGAGAGAGAGAGAGAGAGAGAGAGAGAGAGAGAGAGAGAGAGAGAGAGAGAGAGAGAGAGAGAGAGAGAGAGAGAGAGAGAGAGAGAAGAGAGAGAGAGAGAGAGAGAGAGAGAGAGAGAGAGAGAGAGAGAGAGAGAGAGAGAGAGAGAGAGAGAGAGAGAGAGAAGAGAGAGAGAGAGAAAGAGAGAGAGAGAGAGAGAGAGAGAGAGAGAGAGAGAGAGAGAGAGAGGAGAGAGAGAGAGAGAGAGAGAGAAGGAGAGAGAGAGAGAGAGAGAGAGAGAGAGAGAGAGAGAGAAGGAGAGAGAGAGAGAGAGAGAGAGAGAGAGAGAGAGAGAGAGAGAGAGAGAGAGAGAGAGAGAGAGAGAGAGAGAGAGAGAGAGAGAGAGAGAGAGAGAGAGAGAGAGAGAGAGAGAGAGAGAGAGAGAGAGAGAAGGAGTTACGGGGGGGCGGGGCTCGGTGGTGGTGGGGGCGTGTCCAGGTCTGTTCCGTGTCCGCTGCGCGTGCGTCTCTCTTCAGTCTCGTGCGCCGCGGATGGAGCTCCGTGTGCGGCTCTTCTCTCTGCGGCTCTTCCCTGCGCCTCCGGCCGCGCCACAGCGCCTCTGACCCGGGCACATGGAGCGGACACCCCGGGCCCCCCCCGGAGCCCGAACCGCGCTGCTGCTGCTGCTGCTCACCGGCCTCTGCAGCGCCCAGCCCGGCCGCAAAGGTCAGTCCCACCCGGTCACACGGACCCGAGCCTGGACCCGAGCACAGACCCGGACCCGAGCACAGACCCGAGCCTGGACCCGACCCGAGCACAGAGGACCCGAGCCTGGACCCTGGACCCGAGCACAGACCCGAGCCTGGACCCGGGATACACCTGGTTTAGTTCTGTTTTAGACCTGGTTTATTCCTCCTGCGGGACTCTGATGTCAGGTTGAAGTTTTAGTTTTATTGACTCGAATTTCCACTTATTTTAGTCCAAAATTAGAGACGCTGTTTAGTCCTGGTTTAGACCTGGTTTAGACCTGGTTAAGTCCTGGTTCAGTCCTGGTTCGGTCTCAGGTTTAGTCCTGGTTTCTTCTTCAGGTTCAGTCTTTTTCCCCGCAGGTGTCGTGATTTGATCGTGATTTGATTGTGATTTGATTGTGATTTGATCGTGATTTGATCGTGATTTCAGTTTTTGATAAATCGTAAAAATCTCGTGTCAGTTTCCGTCAGTTCACGCGCCTCGTGCACGAGCCGTGAGTTTTGACTCGATTACGAAACTCCCCGAAACGAGTCCGACCACTTTGTCAACTGCAAACGCACGCACTCCGAGTCTGAACCGGGACTAGACCAGGACCAGGACCAGGACCAGACCAGGACCAGACCCGAGACCAGACAGAGACCAGACCAGGACCAGAGCCGGGTCCGGGTCCGGGTCTCGAATTTTGCACTAGAATAATTTTAAAGTCGAAGCAATAAAACTCAATTAAACCTGACAGAAGACTCCAGAATCAGGACTAAACCAGGACTAAACCAGGTCTAAACCAGGACTAAACCAGGACTAACCAGGTCTAAACCAGGACTAAACCAGGACTTAACCAGGTCTAAACCAGGTCTAAACCAGGACTAAACCAGGTCTAAACCAGGTCTAAACCAGGACTAAACCAGGTCTAAACCAGGACTAAACCAGGTCTAAACCAGGTCTAAACCAGGTCTAACCAGGTCTAAACCAGGTCTAAACCAGGTCTAAACCAGGTCTAAACCAGGACTAAACCAGGACTTAACCAGGTCTAAACAGCGTCTCTAATTTTGGACTAAAATAAGTGGAAATTCGAGTCAGTAAAACTAAAACTTCAACCTGACATCA